GAGGGGTAGGGAGAGGAAAGGGCCGAATTTAGGGTGAGGAAGGGGGACGGGTCTGAGGTAGAGGCACCTGGGAGAAGAGGGGGAGGAGGCGGTGACCTTCAGCTTGTCATTTTTGGGTCAGAAGTCACCCCAAGTCTCATTTTGGGTGAGGCAGGGAGGAGAATATGGGATAAAAATCAAACCTCCTGTGGGGGATTTCGCTGCCTTGCTCAAAATACGGCTTAGCCTGTTGGTATCAGGGGCTCTGGCTGCCTTTGCAAGGCATCAAGCTGCTGCCTTCAGCTTTAGAGGCCAGGGGGGAGATTTCTTCCCATTTTTCTCCTGGTGTTGTGCAGCAAGGAAGCGTTTTCCCTCTCTGGAAAGTCTGGGAAAGGCTCCTGAGGGACTGGGAGGGGGTTGGGTGCTCATCCTTACCCCCCAAATGCCAGCAGAAGCCTCCTGTGAACTGTGGTTTGGGAACGTGGGGTGTCCCCAGGAAATCTCCACGGGTTCACTGGGTGCTTTGAGCCCCCCCAAGCTCAGCTCTAGCAGTAAAATATTCTCTTTTTTGGTTGTGTTTTCTTTCAGGCAAGAATCCACCTCAGCCCTGGGCAGAATTTGGAGTATGGGTGGCTGGCTTATATGTTGGGAGAAAGAACTACCAAAAAGTTCACCCCATACAGCAAAATCTTCACTGTGGAGGGAAATTTATCCTCTGGGAAGGGCAAACTGGCACAGCAAGTGGCAGAAAAATTGGGTAGGGCTGATTTTAGTTGGCTTTAAGAGTTGAGAGCTGCCTGGTGGGGAAGGATTTGGGGAGGTTCTAACCCCCAGGTCACATTCTGAGGGTGTCAGCTGGCTCTGGGAGCTCCTGGCTGTGGGATCTCCTGGCTCTGCTGACCCAGGAGCTTCTCTGTGGGTCTGGGAGGAGCATCAAAGTGTTGAGGATTTTTGGGGCAAAAGGGTTTTTCTAGTTAGAGGTTGGCTGGAGGGGTCTGTGCTGCTGGCAAGCACAGCTCAGGGCTGAAATCAACAGCTTGGGATCCTAAAATCATTCAGGTTAGGGGGAAAAAGCTCCAAGATCAGCAGATCCAACACTCCCTTGGCCACCAAACCTTGTCCCTCAGTGCCACCTCCACGTGGGTTTTGGAGCCTTGGAAGGGTTGGGGGGTTCCAGCACCACCCTGGGCTCATCCTCCTCCTCTCTGTCTGGGGAGAAATCCTTCTGAACATCCAACTTCAACCTCCCCTGGGGCAACTTTTGGCCCATTTCCTCTTGTTTTAGCCCTGATAAGATGGAAGAGGAGTCCACCCTCCTCTCCAACCCCCTTCCAGGGGGCTGAAAAGAGCAAGAAGGTCTCAGAAAAAGATCAAATCTTGGCCGTACACCAACGAAACCTCCTCTGACTCTTTCTTTGCCTCTTTTTTTCCCCTCTCAGGCATGAAATACTTCCCAGAAGCAGACATCCACTACCAAAACAGGACGACAGGAGATGGCTCCCTCCTCCCAGAGAAATTTAATGGGTTTTGTGACCTCCAGAGGTTCTACCAAGACCCCAAATGCCCTGATGGCCACTCCTACCGTCTGCAGGCTTGGCTCTTGGGCAACAGGGTGCTGCAATATGCTGATGCTTTGGAGCATCTGCTGGCCACAGGTGACCTCCCACAGCCCAGGGGTCTCCTTCCTAAATCAATGAGCCAGGGAGGAGCTGTTTGGAGCTGTTGGGTTGGGGGTTGGGGTGTAAAATGAGAGGATTTTGTGGCTTTGAGGGTTTTTTATCCCCTTAAAGGGAGTGGAGTGCAACAGAGGAAACCACCCTGCAGGTTTTCTGTGCCAACAGCACCTTCTAGGTGTGGAAATCTTCACCCATCCCCCTTCCTTTTCCCTTTCTAAAAGGTTTTGAACACACTGAGGCAGCTGTGAGGGGTACAGCCCCCTAAAAAACTCTCCCTGGGGTTAGTCCCTGTTGGGTTTCTTGGGATCAGCCTTTTGTATTTCACTCAATCCTGTTGGGGAGGGGGGTGGTTACTGTTTTAGCAAGGTTTTAAGGAGGATTTCCCCCCAAAAAAAGGTCTGTAAAGGTCCTTTTTCAACCCAAGAGGACTTTAGTTGGGGGGTAAATGTTGGAGACAGAGCCCTCAGTGCCACGCTGGTGTGAGACAACACTTTGCTGCTCTTCTTTGAGTTCAAAACTCTGGAGAATGACTCAGAAAACATCCTGAAGGAGCAGCCCTGGGTTTATTTTACCAGGAGCTTGGCTGAGGAGGTTTTTTTTTGTTGCCTTGCAGGCCAAGGGGTGGTGATGGAACGTTCTCCCTACAGCGACTTTGTCTTCCTGGAGGCCATGTTTAAAGAAGGTTACATCCACAAACGCTGTGAGTGGCCCCAAAGAAGCTCCTTTGTCTTCTCCTTCAGCCCCCAACGTGGTCATTTAGCTGCTAAAAATGAGGCAAAACTGGAAAATGAGGCTGCTGGGGATGGGGAGAGTTGGTTTTGAGGCCTTCAGCCCCTGGGTGGTGGGTGTGTCGTGGGGCAATCTCAAGCCATGGCACTGCCAGGGGTTCTTCAAGGCTTTGAGGCTGCTTTTGGGTTGAAGAAGGGGGGTGGGGAGGGTGTGTCCTGTCAGCCAGAGGCTCCTGGAGCTCCCTGGAGGTCTGGGTGAGGGTGCTGAGGAAGAGCAGGAGGTGAGGGGGTCAATAAATGAAGGGAGGAGAGGGTTTGGGTGACTTGCCTGAGGTGGCCATTCCCCTGGGGGAAGCTGAGGAGGCACAAATGCTGCTGCCTTCCTGGAGGAGAGGAGGAGGAGGAGCTGTGGAGCTGCAGGCCAGGTGAGCTCAGCTTGATCTGGAGGAAGGGGATGGAACAAAGCCTCCTGGAAGCCATGGTGAAACGTGGAGGAGGTGAAAAGAGGGTGGAGAAGAGTCATCCATTGGTTTATGGGAAGGAAATGGAGGGTTCAACACCTGAGAGTCACCTCTTTGGAGAAGGATTCTCTCAGTGGGGGGGTGTTTGCCTTGACCTGAGGAAGCTTTTCAGGGCTGGCTCCCCCAAACTCTTTGTTTCCCAGCTGAAGGATGGACCAGGGGACTTGAAACTGGGCTCCAAGGGTCGTGGCCACCAGTCCAGAGGCCAGTGTGCATCCCAGAGGTGGTTACTGGGGCTGAACTGGGTTGAAACTGGGTTTCAAACAGCTCAAATCAGGCTGAGCAGAGGGGCAGGGGATGGAAGATGGAGAGGGGAGTGGTTGCCACCAGTTTGGTGCTCTTCAGAGGAACCTGGAGAGGTGGTTGGGTGGTAAAACCTCATGGAAATTTGGGCAACTCTCCAAAAGGGAGGAAAAATCTTCTCTCCTCACCTCTCCAGTGCAGCCTGCTTGTCCTTTTAACCTATTTCTGGCAGATTATTCCTCCTAAAAACCTCAGCACCCCCATTTTGGAGGAAGAACCTCCCCTCAACGTGCTGTAGGTGTCATTTTGGGGGGGGTGTGGCTGTGGTCAGCTGGATTCCCTGGAGCTCTGTGCTCCTTTTTGTCCATTCTCTAGGTGTTGAGCACTACAAGGAGATCAAGGAGCTCAGCATTGAGGAGTTCCTGCCTCCCCACTTGGTCATCTACGTGGATGTCCCAGTCCCAGAGGTGCAGAAAAGGATCCAAGAGACAGGAGAGGTGATTTCCTCCTCTTGCCACTCTGATTCCTTCTTGTAATCCTGCCCTCAGGTGTCATCTCCAGCATCTCCATGGGGTTTGGTGTCAAATTCTGCTTCAGGGAAAAGCTTCTTGTCCTCTTAGCTACAAGAGCTGTGGGGGTGGTGGCTCTGGAGGGGTTCTGGTGGGTTTGCTCTAAAGAAAAATCAGCTTTTTTTTAGTTTTTTGGGGGGCTGCAGCAGAAATCTCTGAGGGGTGGGAGGAATTGTTGAAATCCTGGAGGGGTTTCCAAGCTTTGGAGATGTGGTGGTGAGGGACAGGGGGCAGTGGGGACCTGGCAGGGCTGGGGGAAGGGTTGGATTGGATGATCCTGAAGATTTCTTCCTAAAAAAAAATGATCCTGTGGCTCTTAAGGTACAAGATAAACATTGTGGAGTCCTCATTTCAGACCCAGCACGTGTCTGGGTGTCAGGAGGAGGAAAAAACCCAACCCAGAAGCTTTCTTTGGAGAAATCATGGAACAAAAAACCACTCTACACCTTTGCAGGGTGCCCTGTGTCCTTCACCCCACATCTCCAGGGCTTGGGAACCCCTCCAGGGGTTGGGGACTCCACCACTGCCCTGGGCAACCCTCCAGGGGGAGAAATTGTTCCTCAGCTCCAACCTCAACCTCCCCTGGGGCAACTTGAGGCTGTTTTTTTCTTCTTCCTTGGGAGAAGAGCTTGATCCACCTCAATCCAACCTCCTGCCAGGGAATTTGGAGAGCCAGAAGGTCTCCCCTGAGCCTCCTTTGCTCCAGATTCAGCTCCCTCAGCTGCTCCTCCCCACATTTTGGGCCCTCTAGACCCTTCCCCAGCTCAGCCTCATGTTTTATTTCCCTGTGAAATCCCTTCTGGGTGCAGAGGAACCTTTGGGGTGACCCCAGAGGAGCTCTCCTGGAGCCTGGATCTCCACCTTGGGGTGCTCAGAGGAGCTGGGAGAGTTTTTTCTTCACCACTTTCCTGCTCATTAAAGACAGACACTGATGATGGTTGAAGGGAGGTGACTTCAGAGCCACTGCTCTGTGACCTGCCTGCCCTGATTTGCTGCTTCTGCTGCTCCAGTGACTCTCCCCTCCTGCTTTCCAGGAGGCTGAACCTGCCTCTGTGCTGCAGTGAAACACTTTGGAGGAGGAGAATCAGCTTTTTTTTATGCCTTTAGTGACTCCAAGGACAGAGTTAGAAGCTTCTCCACGTGTCTTGGAACCCTCCTGTTGAAATAAAAGAAGAAAATTCATTTTGCTTTTTATTCTCCTGAATATTTTTTTCCCCTTTTTAGACTCAGAGGAATTTTCTTTGTCCTGCTAAGAGTAGAAGAAACATCAAGGAGAGGCTGAGGCAGGTTCCTCCTCCAGATAAAGCCACATAAAAACTTCTCCATGTCCCAAATAGCTCAAATTCTTAAACTTTTCCTTCATGTGTTGTGTGGTTCTCTGGACAATTTGGCTGCTGAGCTTGTGGCAGAGTCTCCACGGGTGGGAGAAGGGAGAAAACTCATTTCACAGCATTTTTTGGTGTTTTTTTTTCCAGCCCTATGAGAAGAAAGTGTCTCCTTCCTATCTCCAGCACATTGAGGATGCTTACAAGAAGAAATTCTTGCCAGAGATCAGGTTAGCCAACCAAATTTGGAGTCTTTTTGAGGAGAAGTTTCTCCTCCTGCTCAGATGGCACCTCCTGGGTCCCAATTGGTGCCTGTTGCCCCTTCTCCTGTCCCTGAGACCACTGAAAACACTCTGACCACCTCCTCTTGACCCCCCTGAGCCCTTCAGCTCTTGCTCAGCACTGCTCAGATCCCCTCTGAGGCTTCTCCTCTCCAGCTCAGCAGCCCCAGGGCTCTCAGCCTGGCCTGGCACAGAGATCCTCCAGCCCCTCAGCAGCTTTGGAGCCTCCCCTGGACTCTCTTCAGCATCTCCTGGTCTCTTTTGACCTGGGGAACCCAAAACTGGCCACAGGACTGCAGAAGTGACCTCCCTAGGGCTGAGTAGAGGGGCAGGAGAACCTCCCTGGACCTCCTGGCCCCACTTTTCATGCACCCCAAGGGACCCTTGGGCTGCTTGGCCACACAGCTGCCTCATGGGCAACTTGTCCTCCAGGACTTTTAGGTGAAAAATGAGGAGATTTTAGGTGTGAGCAGTTAAAACTCATTTTTTTTTGCCTCTGAACAGATCTGGAATGGGCAGAGGATTTAATTAGGGACCTCCTGAAGATGTTACAAAGCTGCTGAAGCCTCATCTGCAGGGTGTTCCTTCATCCTGCTGCCTGAGGGTGCTGCAGCTTCACTGGCAGGAGGTCAGAGCAGCAGAGAGGATTCATTTTTGAGGAGCCAAGGCAGGAATCTGAGCTCTGCTCCCTCTGCTCTGCCTCCTTTGGGTGGTTGGTGTTGATCCCTGGGCTCCTCTTTGATCTTCCAGCAGATTTTTAGGGGCATGCCCAGAAAGCTTTAGGAGGGGGTTAAGGTTTGGATGATTTGAGGAGCCAAACACATCTCCAGCTAGCTTCTCACCTGCTTGTTTCCCCTTTATTGAGGGGATTTTTTCCTCTCCATTTCCCTGGGATCAATGGCACTCAGCTGGATGACTTCAGATGGAGCTTGTCCCTCCTCCAGGGCAGGAGCTGTTGGTGCTATTCATGCTCAGATGCCTCCTCAGGAGTTATCAGCCAGGAAAAACAGACTAAAGGTGGAGGAGGAGGGGGGGAAACCTTGGATCTGGAGGGCAGGAGGTGTTTGCAGCTGGCTGGAGAGGAGGAAAATGCAGTTTGTTTAACAACTTCCACCTCTGACTGTTGCTTCTTAGACTTTATTGGGTTCCTGACTCTTGAAGAAGACCCAAATCTGCTTCAGATGGGGGTAGGAAGAGTTGTTCCAGGCTGCTGAAGCAGCTCCCATCTTTTCTTCTTCTTTTTGCTTTCCTTGAAAG